TTTGTTCACTTTTGACTTTTAGAACTGTTCATCTAGGCACTTTGACTCATCAAATTCTCTCAATGTGTAAGCCTAATAAATATAGTCATGTGTGATCTTGTTTGATTTGTTTTAACATATAGATTATTAATATATAATTTCTATAATTTTTTAATATACAAATTACAAGATAAAATGGATTAAAGAAGTGCATTGGATGGTGTGTAAAAATAAAAGTGGACAAATACTATGAGACGAAGGGAATATTGAATAAGAATGAGAAGGGGTGGATAATTGAATTTGAGATTTGACATTTTTAAAAATAAAATAAAAAAAACACTTTTGCATGTAGTACATGCGATTTTCCTAGTGGGGAATTTGGGATTCCACTTGAGGAATTAATGTTTGTGTTTTTTCCAAGTGAGGGAAACCACCCCAATATTTAATAGGTGCATCAGTGCATGTACCTGTGCTTTTACACAACAAAGTTGCTTTAAATATCAATGCCAAATCCTAGCTTAATTCTTGGAGTGTTTTAATAAGTTATTTCTATAAAACAACCGCCAAATTTAAAAAACATTCGTTTACAAGTATTCGTTTACAAGTATTATTAAAAAGTGTGAATTATGTTAGACTACATCCCACATCAGAAATCCAAGAGTAAAATAATCGGTATATAAGCTCTAGAGTTGAACTAAGTAATCGATTGGATTCAATCTTTTAATGTGGTTCAACCCAAGTGTCTTATTACCCAATCCAGTTGTCCATACCCCATCCCAAAATATCAATGCATGGTATCAAAACGTAAAATAGACAAGTACTAAAGGACCACAAGCCACTAGGTATGGACTTCCAGACGAGCAATCGTGTTAAACAGGCCACAGTCTAGACGGACACTTTGACAAACGAGGTGGGCTAAAACTGGCTCCGATACCATGATAAAATTTAGGATGAGTATGGACAACTGGATTGGGCTATAAAACACTAGGGTTGAACCGCATTAAAAGATTGAATCCAATCGATTACTTAGTTCAACTCTAGAGCTTATATACCGATTATTTTACTCTTGGATTTCTGATGTGGGATGTAGTCTAACAAATTACAAGTAAAAATATGGATAAACTAATAAAATAAAAGATCTATATTTTTCATTTTGAGTACAAAACTAACCGTATGAATATGACATCAAAAAAACAGTAGGATGATTTTTACAAAAATAATTATAAATTAATTATCTAAAGCACATCCAAAGATAAACATGGCGTCGCATATCCTCCCTGGTATTAAAAAAATATAGATTTCCGTTGCCGGGACTTGAACCCGGGTCTCTCGGGTGAGAGCCGAGTATCCTAACCACCTAGACTACAACGGAATTTATGTTATGTCTCTAAAGGTGGAAATTAAATCTTTACTGTTAGAAAAGGAAAATAAAACTCCATTATTTATGGTGATCTTTTTGATAAAATAAAACACGTAGCATTTTTATGGACGTATTTTGAGAGTTTGTTTGGGAAGAACGTCCCTAATAAATATTGGAATTTTGATTTTTGAGTAATTTTTGCATTATACTCACGTACTCCCTCTGAAATTGTTTACAATATTTCAAATTAAATGACGTACAAAATATCATTTCTTTTAAAATTATTTTTTTTTAAAATTGGAAGAAAAATAAAAAGTAAAAATTACATCGTTCAAATGTATATCAAAAGTTTTACAAAACAAGATACGACAAAAATATTTTATTTTATCAAATGGTAAACCAAAACGAATAAACAAATAAAAGTTATCGATCGAAAGGCCAAAAAAGGAACTTTGATATTTTTTTGAGACGGAACGAGGGAGTACGTTTTTACTTTGGATTGTTAAGGCTAAAAACAACGATCACATTTCAATCGGTTTAAATAATTAATATCAAGTTATTGGATATTTTAATTCAGTATTAGATTTTATATCGCATCTATCTTGGTCCTGAAATATCGATTAGAGATGGCTCGAGATGCACCACTATCAGCTTTAGTACTAATTGAGCTGAATACTTATGTATCTAATTTACATAGAATTAATATGAAACCTTTTTTATCTGTGTTTGAAAATTCAAATTTGTGTGTAAACAAAAAAACATAACTAAAAGACGTAAACAGTTTTAATCTAAGAAATGCTTATGAAAACTTTGTATTTCACAAATGAAAAAGAATAAATCATAACAAAATTCATTAGAAACTTTGAAACTATGTCAAAAACATACTCATAAATAATATCTCTAAGAACATATACATAGTAACAAAAGTTTAATATAAAAACACAATTCTTAATTAATGTTCATAAATTTATCAATAAAAAATTAAAATAAAGTAGGATACATTCAGAATAAAGTAGAATCCGTATTTATGATAGTATAATGTTTTATTCAATTTTTATGGTATTTTTTCGATTCAAAATGGATTTTTGTTATGTGTTTCGAGAAATTTTGAGAACATTTTGAAATGTCTTACTCTTAAAGGTGGAGGGAGAGCGTGTTTTTCCATTTGTTTAAAGGTAAGGGTGACATTTAGAATTGTGAGATTTATAGAGGTATCAAGGTGCTTAGCCACACCATGAAAGTTTGAGAGTGAGTAATTGAGTATAGGCTGCGGAAGGGGGTATGAATTTCCAAGAACCAGTTGTGTTTCATACCCGGTAGATCGAAAATAGAGGTCATTCACCTTTTACGGAGGTTGATGGAGGAGTACAGTATAGGGTTAGGAAGAAAAGAAATCTCCCAAGATAAGAGTAAAGAAGTTTGAAAATACTAAAATATGAGTCTTATATATTTTTAGACCAGAATAGGAGTATAATGGTAGTGTGGTGTAAGAATACGCGTTGACAGTGTATTGGAAAAGTGATGACAGTGTAATATGTCAGTGTGATTAGTCAACTGTGGCGATCTGTAGCGGCACTCTGGTGGCCAGCGGTGATGGGTGGAAGTGTGACGGTGATAGTGTGGCAATTACAATGTGATTATGTGGTGAGTGTGGCAGTGTAGTAGTCGCAGTATGAACTCCTATTTTAATCTTAAAAGACTTATGACTCTTATTTTGGTATTTTCATAGTCTTTTACTCATATCTAGGGAGTTTTCCTTGAGAAGAAAGATCTTCATATGGTGTTTATTAACTTCGAGAAAGTGTATGATAGGGCTCAGAGGAGGAGGCTATTTGGAGGTGTCTTGAGTCAAAAGGTGTTCTGGCTGCGTACATTTGTGCGATCTGGGATATGTGCAATAGGGCAAGGACTAGGGTAAATACTATCAGGGGTGACTTTGAACCTTTCTCCGTAAAAGTGGGGTTACACAAGGGATCTTCCCTTAGCCCAATTTTGTTTGCTCTGGTGGTAGACGTCGTGACGCAGGGAGCTCGAAGAGAGGTTCGATGCATGCTTTTTGCTGATTATATTGTGCTTATCTCAACGACACCCGCAAGGGACTAAACAAAAATATGAACTTTGGAGCTTTTCCCTATAAAGGACTCAAATTGAGCATGAACGAAACTAATGATATGGAGTGCAGTTCAGCTGTCAGGAAGTAGAAGAAGGGGTGGAAGTCACGATTAATTCACATCCAGTGCTGAAGGTTGACAAGTTGTAGTATCTTTGCTCAGCCATTCAGGCAGATTGAGAATTAGATGGGAATGTGGTGCATCGTGTTGGAGTAGCTTGGACCAAGTGGAGTTGGCTTCATCGATCTTGTGCGATAAGAATATTTTTCCAGAGATCAAAGGTAAGTTCTACCGGTCTGTAGTCATAAGAGCTATGTTGTATAGGGCAGAGTGTTAGACGGTTAAGAAAACTCACATTCGTCAACTACATGTTACGGAGATGCAGATGTTGCGGTTGATGTGTGGGCAGACGAGGTTGGACGGGATTTTGAACGAGGTTATCCGATGTTTATTACGCATGTCACCTGTTGAAGTTAAGATACGGGAGGCGAGGTTGAGGTGGCGAAATGTTGACGCCCCAGTGCGGAGATGCGAGAGGCTTAGAGTGATGGGTAGAAATAGGGGAAGAGGTAGATCTAAGAAGAGTTGTAAGGAAGGTGATTAGGTATTACTTAGGATTCGTTTCCCTTTCCGAAGATATGACCCTAGATATGAGTGTTTGGAGACTTGGAATTAGAGTAGTTGGACAAGCGCTTTTGGCTAGAGGGTAGTTTTCTATACTTGTGTGCTTTGCATGCCTTGTGTAGTTGTATACTTGGTGCTCCTTGTTGCATTACTTTTCCTTTGTTCACTCTTGCTTTTGTTTGCATATGTGTGCCTTATGCATTATCTGTGCTTTAGTTTCTGTGCTTTATATAATGCATATGATCTTTTATATCAGTACAATATGAGTAAGGGGTCTCTTAGAAACAACATCTGTACTTTCAAGTAAGGACAAGGTCTGCGTACATACACCCTCCCCATACCCTACTCTTGTGGAATCCAACTAGACTGTTATTGTTGTAAAAGTTATGATATAACTTAAGATCAAGTGAAGGTTTACATAATTAGGTCATTATACAATTTGATCGAACCACATTAAAAGATTAAATTCCATAAAAGATCATGAGTAAGTTTTCCACATTAAGGTCCTGAGGTTACTTGTTTCGATTTTGGATTTCACCAGGAAGACGAACGATTGAGAGAAAGATGATTTCAGTTTTGGGTTCAAAGATTCAAACTCAGCGGCGGGTTTGGAAAATGGGTGCAAGAGAAGAGAGAAAGTTTAGTTGAGGAGAGAGAGGAACGTGAATTTACAATTTTATCCACGTTTTTAATAGAAGTGTTAACAAAAACCATTCGTGGAAAATAATATAATAATTAGAGATTAAATTATTGATTTTTAATATGTAGAGACTAAATATGTAAAACAAACTATAACAGTAGACATTTTATGTAATTTATTTTATTTTCTTTTTTTAACTAGTTACAATTGATGTAGAGCTTTTATCCCTTTTCTTCATTCTAAGTTTCTAACGCGAGACTCATCTCCTTACTCACTTGACGCAGGTACCAACTATTCTAAACATGGCATATCCGCACATCTAATCAAGGCGGCATATAGGCAAAGCTCGCGGAATGACGAAGCAATTCGGTCTGAGATTACTGATACCTAGCGTTTACCATTCATCACCATTACCTGCGACGGCCGCCGTTTCCCTTTGCCTTTCTTCTTTTTATGCTCATCGGACATCACGGAAAGCAGTTCTCTTGAAGAGAAGGGGCTACTGCTGCTCTGGGTACAAGACCAGTCGCAGGTTGTCGTTCGGAGTGGGCTTGTTCATGGCTGCCGATCTTGGAGGGAAATCGTTCTTGGCTTCTTCTTCTTCTGCACAAAAGAAAGGTTCAATTGAGCAGGTAAATACAGATTATGTGAATGATAACCCCCCCCCCCCAAATCCCATTTCTCATGCTTTAAAACACTGTTGATTCAAAGGTGCTGAAGAATGTGAATTGGCCCAAACAATTTCCTTTCAAGAGAGCGGATTTCGAGCGGTTTGATGAGTAAACTCTCCAAATTAATTGCCTCCTTTTATTTGTGTAATTTGGTGAAGTGTGTCTTATAATAAGGTCTAGAGTGAGTAATTATTACTCGCAGTTGAGTTAAACTCTAACTTTCAGATCGAAGGATTCGTTGTTCTATGAAATCCCTCGGTTCGTGACACATATTGATGATCCAGCCATTGCTGCACTTACTAGATATTACAAGGAGAATTTGCCTCCCACGAATACCCCGGGTGTAGCAATCCTTGATATGTGTAGCAGTTGGGTGAGGTTTTCTTCCTTCACCACATTTATAATATTTTCTTCTTCAAAACATGTCTTTGGGTTGATGTCAAAACCCTCTTTTTTTTTTATATAGGTCAGTCACTACCCGGCAGGGTATAAGCAGAATAAAATTGTTGGGTTGGGCATGAATGAAGAAGAGCTAAAGTTAAATCCAGTAAGTTAATTACATACTTAGGGTTCTACGTGGAACACCTTTTTCATTAAACGATTTTGTCAAATCTGCAGGTGCTAACTGAATATGTTGTACAAGATTTAAACATCAATCCCATACTCCCATTTGAAGATGATACTTTTGATGTCATTACGAACACGGTATGATCATTCAAGACACATACCCATTGGACTTCAAGCACATGCATGCTTTTCTCTCTTCTATGTACAGTTTAAACTTGCAAGAAAAAATTAAATACGGAGTATTAGTAATATGCAGGACAGCAGGGTGAAGGCTCATACATATAGGACCTAAGTTTCCAAATTATATAGCATAAACATGTAACAAGTGGTTTGTTTGACAGTGTCTCTTTCTGTGCATTTTGGTGCAATTTTTGAATTTTTCTTTTCTATAAATGTATACTTTGCAGGTTAGTGTTGACTATCTAACAAAGCCTCTTGATGTTTTCAAAGAGATGTACCGTATTCTTAAACCCAGGGGAGTTGCGATTATAAGGTAGCAGTATTCTACCCTGTCATTGTTAAGTCACTTCACATTGATAGAATAATACTCCTTATAAAAAACAAATATAGACAAGGCAATTAGCTATTCACATATCATGAAACCCCAAGTCTTAATAGTCACTGTTCAAGAAGAATTTTTTTTTATTTCTCAACTCTATATTTTACAGTTAGCTTGCTTTACACACTAGGAGAAAATCTAATACCCCGTAGTATTCACTTTGGGACTTTTTTAAATATGTGTATTAGTTTCTCAAACCGATGCTTTTGGACAAAGGCAATATCATTATGGACATCAACAGGAGATGATGATCATGTTATGATAGTAGGCTCATACTTCCATTATGCTGGTGGGTTTGAACCACCCGAGGTATCTCTCCAATACTGTACTTTTTCAAAGGGTGACGTAGGGATTTGAATGATTTTGAAACATTGCTTACTTTTGTTCCGTTTGAAAATTGTCAAATGTTTAAGAATAATCTGATTGAGACATGATTTAGAAACTAAGGATGATTTTAAGGTGTGTTTAGTGCCAATAAAGAACAATCTACTTGCCTCTACAGAAGTTACTATATGTGTGCCCTGTTTTCTTTTCTGTTAGGCTGATGATATATCTCCAAACCCTGGGCGTTCCGACCCCATGTATGTTGTTTATTCAAGAAAGCAAACTACCCAAAGCAGTTAAAGGTGTTTATTCTGATCTGTGACCGCCTCTCTTCAATCGATTCAATGTGTAAGTTGTACAATTGTGAATTTGTTTGTGGGCAAGTGCACCTGTATGGATTTCTTGAAGAAGATTTCTATATAAAAAAGCCAACTATGTGCGGGTGGATTTTCGAAGGGCACAAGTTGACATTGGACCATGCAATCAAGTGCTGTAATTCACAAAGAGGGCGACAGGGGAAATGCCAAACCGGATTCAAAATAGTCATATATCAATAAACTAAACCAAATTGTTATGTGATTGTTGGGTACACGAGGCTCATTTTATGACACCATCAAAGAGTTGAGCTTTTTGTAAAGAAAAAAAAAAATCATTGTAAACCCATAAAAAGTGCGAGAAGGGTTACATATTTCATGTGGACTTTAGAAAATATAGAAGCATACTCTCTATTATCTACTCCTGTCACAACTTATGTTGCATGTTTATTATCCACAAGGTCAAATCTCCTTTGTTTTTTTCCTTATTTTCATTATTCATTTGATAAAATAATATAGTCATTTTTTGTTTCATATAGCTTTTGATCTAGTTTTTTAATATATAAATTTTATTTTTCTATTCCACTCCAATTCTAAAGTTAACTGTATTAAAAATAACTTCAGTCAAACATCGTAAATCGTAACAGACGATTTAAATTACGACGTGGGAGTAACTAACATCTTTTACGGGACGGTAACCGTGACATTGCACGGCAATGTCATGGGATGACCCGAGATCGCTCTAGTGCCTCGTTCGTAAATTTGACGATTTCTATCCCCTAACCCCCCACTCTGCCTTGACCCGAACACACACCCCCACCCCCTTCAATTGCACCCCACAAGTTAATTTTGACTTTGGAGTCAAATTTTGACTCCAAAGTCAAAGTTAACTTGTGGGGTAGGGGTGGGGGGTGTGTTCGGGTCAGGGCAGGGTGGGAGAATTTACCGGGGGGTTAGGGGGTAGGAACCGTCAATTTTATGAATGGGGCACCGGAGTATCCCTGGGTCATCCCATGACATAGGGTTCCAATGTCATGGGAACCCCACCGCATCTTTTATCACTCAAATTGTAGAAGACAGATACATAGGTAACTAAAGTGCACTCCTCTGTCACATAATTTTTTTCCTGTCACTTTATCAAAAATTGTTACAACGTAAACACAGAAGATAATTTCAGCACTGAGGGAGTTCAAAACAAACAGTGTAACATGTTTTATTACTCAAATTGTACAAAAAACATATACGGAGTACATAGGTACAGTAATTATTATTCAATGTTTTGAACTACTTCGTATCTATCTACTAGAAACCGTCAAATTTACGAACGGGGCGCCGGAGCGCTCCTGGGTCATCCAATGACATGGGGTTCCAATATCATGGGAACCTCACCGTATTTAGAATGCACCTCATCTCATACACATTCAGTCCTATGGTTAACATCCTCTCGAAAATTTTATCAATGATACCTAAACTTTGAAGGTTATCTTACTTCGGTACTTAAACTTTATTTATTTTTGCAAAAAAAAAAGAATTGAAAAAGGGAAGAAGTTTCCTTTTTTGTGTGAGAGAAACAAAATTGAAAAAAGATAAAAAAAAACAATGGAAAAAACATAAAAAGAAAAAAAGAGAAAAAAACACGGAAGAAGTTTAGGCAGCGAAGAGATAACCTACAAAGTTCAGGTACCACCAGTAAAATTTAACCTTTAATCCTATAATCAAAACAATATATTGAAAGTGCATATATTGAATATTTTTTCTAAACATTGTAATTGATCGAAAAATAGATTTTGGGTGTTAAAATGATAGATTTTTGCAATGTGTGAGATGGGTATGTTGAACCAAAGTAGACTTGTGTAAACATGAATTCGGGTTGGGTCGAGCTTAGTGCTAATAATTGTCGGGCCGCCCAAATCACGTAGGCTAAAAGCTATACCTATATTTGCCCATCTAGGTCGGCCAGGCATCCACCGGACTTTCAAGCCCAAGAATGACATCAAGGAAAAATACGTAGATTAAAATAGATGTCACACTTAGAACAATTTTACAACGAAAAAGAAAGGTTTGAAAAAAAATAATAATCTAGGTGTTGTCATTATCGTTATTGTTGTCGATTTTGTTGATGCTGCTGTTGGTGTTGTTTTTGTCGTTATTGTTGTTGTCATTGTGGTCGTAGTTGTTGCTCCTGATGTTGTTGTACTGTAGTTGTTTTTTTGTTGTTGTAACACCCAACTCACGTAGCCCAAGTACATGTGTCAGCGGATCATTTTGCAACCATCCTACCAAATTGATATCCTATAATGATCAATTCAAAAATATTTAAATTAAAGTCCAAACATTTCAAAACAGTTCAATTAATAGTGCGAATACTTAATTAGACATGCAATGTCAATCAATTAAAATATGGAGTAATTACTTAACAATCAATCATCCTGCATCCACACCTCCCCTCCGAGAGAGTGGCACTACCAACACCAATCATACCTATGTGTAGGTCCGAGTTCCAAAAAAACCAAAGACTATTTCGAAAATGCGCGAAAACATGGCCGAACCGTGAAACCTACATAATTTTTGAAGCTTTAGCATCGTTAGTCTTAGGTTCCATAATGGCTACAAAGTTGGGATGGTGAGTGGAAATAAGATATTTTAATCTATTTTGAAATAGATTAAAGTATCTTAATTAGAAGGGAGGCTTGAGGTATCCTCAACCTCTAACCTTCCCACCCCCGTATCTAAGTTAAGGGGTGGGTGGGGAGGCATCAAAGAAGATATGTCCAAAGGAAGAGGGTTCTGATTTAATCTGTCTTTTGTAATTTGCCCTATATACAACTTTAGCTTTAAGTTTTGCATTTTTTGGGTACCTGCGATATATCAATGGTTGGATTTTTTGGCTTAACATTGTCAACAGGGGTAGGGGTGGGGTCGGGGTGAGATAGTTTATCGGGGATAACAATTATTAATTTTATAAATTGGACATCGTACATGTTTCAATTGGGACCAATGACATCCCATGACATTAAAATCCAATGTCATGAGAATCAGGCCGATATATAATTCAATATCATACTTTATCATTTATAACGACTTTGAATTGTCATTGGGCATATGGTTTAACATATTGTTCCAAAAGTGAGTTAAAATCAACATCTTTTCTCAAAATGAAAACCATTTCGTCAAAAATGCTTCTCAGAAATCTTTGTCCTTTCTTTCTCTATCTCAGTATTTTTCACATTCTACATTTACTAGATTAATGTTTCTGCTACTCAAATTCATACTTTTTCTTATTTGTTGATATCAATATCAACCACACTGCTATAACTAAACTCGGGGTCTTATCAAACACTACCTTCGTTCCTAAATATTTATCCACTTTTGACTCTTTTCAATAAAAATTGGTAAACATTGAGCACAAGTTAAATAAAAGTAATATTAGATATTGATACGTACAAAAATGATTTTTTTAGACTCTTTTAATAAAATATTTTTAGAATATTATTTTATCTAATTTTTTTGAGTGATTTTGTCTAGTTATTATATCATACTTATTTTACTTAATTATAGGTCAAGGGTTGGAAATGGTTGATTGTAAAAAATAAAAATTAGACAAATACTCAGAGTCGAAGGTAATATTAAAAAATGGCAAATTTGCGAAGGAAATGAATCGGAAGTAATATGGGGCGAAAATATGGGAATGTTTTAGGAGTTCTTTTCAATATTTTTATGAAGGAAAAGAATAGATTTAGAAGAGGATATGGAGGAGAGTTCGAAATGGGAGAATAAAATGGGAGGGATAAATCTGAATTAGTGTTAAGAGATATGACACACTGTGGTCTTAACTTGGGATTTGTTAATTATCTTCACTCAAACATTCACAATCGCTATTAATGTACTCCCTCTCTTTCTTAAAGCAGTTCCTATTTTGACTTTTAGGAGAAATAAAGAGTGTATATTTGTGGTAGATTTTTCCAATTTTGCCTTTGGTGTAATTGGTAAAAGTACGATGTGATGGATAGATAATTAGTAAAAAAGTATGATGTGATAGGCAGGGTAAGAAAAATTAAGTGTAAAAGTAATTTTTTAATAGAAAGTAAAAGTGTTTTGGGGAAAACAAAAAAAAATGAAAGAAGAAGTGTTTTAAGAAACGGAAGAAGTATAAGATTAAACTCCTAACATGCATTTAAAACTATCCAACTGAAGAGATATTTTATTTAAAAAATTATTTTAACTAGCATCACAATTATTCAGAGAAAATACTCAAAAGAGTAGGGGCAAGGTCTGCGTACACACACCCTCTTCAGACCCTACTGATGTGGGATTCAACTGGGTTGTTGTTGTTGTTACTCAAAAGAGTATCAACTTGGTTTTAAATTTTATTCTTCATTGTATCTATTACATACAAATGGTGGGAGCATGTTGGCATGGTGGTAAGGAAATCATCCCAAGTTTATCCACATCCAGGTTGAGCCAACCCTACTCTTAAGAGGTTGAGATTAGTTAGAAGAGATACATATAGTGATAGATGTTGAGAGCTGCGAAAAAAATATCTATTACGAATGGGGAGGTGCATGGTTTATATCTATCTATGAGTATTTGTCCAGTTTTGTTTTTTTCAATCGAATGTTTTCAACCTTTGACCTATAATGAAATAACATATATTGTATATACATTAGATAAAATAATATTTTAGAAATATCATATATAAATAATCTACTCGTAATTAAACTATTTTTGTATCAATATTTTTTATTTAATTTGAGATCAAAGTTTATTAATTTTTATCAAAAAAGACAAAAGTAGACAAATACTTCAGAATGGAAAGGAAATACTACTGATAGAATACGATTACAAATAGGGAAAACTAAGAGGCTGTTTGGCAACTTCTGAATGGGTAAGTGCTGAACCAGTAAGAGGTCTGAACCATTAAGTGCTGAACCAGTAAGAGGTCTGAACCATTAAGAGCTAGTATATTGTTTAACTATTCAGAGGTAAATGTCTGATCAATTCAGATAAGAGCTCTTAACCATTCAGACTCTGTATAATACTTAACCATTCAGAGCCAAATCTCTTAACCATTCAGACATCTGAACCATTAAGAGGCTGAAACAAACAGCCCCTAAGTAAAAGTGTGGAGACTAAGTAACTTTGAAAAATAATTAAAGATAAAGCTACTTTAGTTAAAGTAAAGCATTTTCTAAGTCATTTTTTTGTCCCATTCTGTGTAGCTTCGGCCAATCTTAGGGTTAATCAAGTTTTATTTTTTACTTATTTATAGTTGAGGGTGTAACCTTACACCAACCCAATTGATGTAACATTGTTACATCAATTTAATTAGAATACCTACGATGTTTTGATCGTAAAATTGATTGTTCCTATCCCCCTACCGTACCCTCCCCAGTAAACCCCCTAGCCTACCCCATTCCCGATGCACCCCCACTAATTTCATTGCACCAAATTTGGGTCTAAAATTTGACCTAAAAGTCAACAAAATTTGGTAATGAAATTGGCAGGGGTGCAAGGGTGCGTAGGGGACGGGACAAGCTAGGAGGGTTTACCGAAGGGTTAAGGTAGTACTCCCTCTATCCCAATTTATAGTACCTGTTTTGATTTACGATGTATTTTCAAATCATTTTATATGACAAATGGTATAAATTTAAAAAATAAAAATTAAATATTAAAATAATATATCAAAAAATCTACAAAACTAGTAGTGACAATAACATTTTATTTTATCAAATTAATAACAAAAATAAAGAAAGAAAGTAAATGAAGTTTGACCTTGTGAATAGTGAACATGCACTATAAATTTTAACAATTGACTAACAAAAATAAGTATAAAAAAATTCAATAAAGTTTAATCATGTGAATAGTGCACATGTCATTTAATTCAGGAATACATGCATATTTTGTTGAGCTGACTAGGCAATTTCTGGCTGCCCCACTCAAGCACATCACTAGAAGCCATGTCAGGGCTGTGAATGAATCAATGGAAGTCTTGTTTGCCCGCTCTAGTTTTTTTTTTCTTCCAAGAAAAAAAAAACACCCAGTTCTGAAGGGCTATGAATATGGGGATGCACTTAATAAATACTCATACAATGTTTCGAATCATACTCAAGAGAATAAATCTTAGCTTTAATTTCTATCCCAATAAAAAGATGCAACTTCCGATCACCCTATCTAATAGAAAAACAAAATACAACATTAATATGACACACTAGTCCAATCCTAACTCTACTTGAGATCCAATGTCCACCAGAGATTCCCTAAGCTCCATCTTGTGAATCTCATACTCCCTTTCAAACAATAAAAACTCCTGCACCACCATAACAAATCTCATGTTCAGGCAATTTGGAGTATAGCTTAATTACAAGAGGACCCAGTCACTTTTGAAGCAAAATAATGAGGAACAGGCTAGAGTTGTATTGGCCATATAGATTGTTTGTCTGCTATAAATGGAAAGCAGGATCCAAACAATTAAAGTTAAGGAAATAAATGTGTGTCCAAAACACACAAGGAACATGAAAAGTGTGTTTGTGTGTGTCCTACCTGCAATTGATGCTGACTAAACAGGTGAAGATATCCGGCTTCCGGATTGGTGATTAGGTCAATGAACTCATCGTGTTTTTCAGGTGGCTGGCCATACTCCACAAGTGAGGCTGAAACCTATAAAAGAAGTGTCAAAACGTAACTGGTTACAAAATATGCACTAGCTGGCAAAAGCACGGCAGAGTGGAGGAAGAAGGGGACTGGTCATTTAGGGTTTACCTGCATACACCGAAGAATTAGTTCGGGAATGCAACACCTGCGACAGAGACCCCTCACTATGTATGTGGCTGGGCTTCCTATAGCACCGTCATTTCTAGAATACCATGCATCTAATTTTGATATTTCCATCGTTACCCCTGCTTGAAAACGAAGCATCTCGCCTGCAATGAACAGAAAAAATCACACGTGCAGACAAAAATAATTCTTATACGCCGTAGCATTATAAACCATAAAGCTCATTTGGTAGGCAGTAGGTTTAACCGTTTAAAGTTAACAGCATAATCAGCCATCCAGTTTAGTGATACTGTGCGAGTGGCTTTTTAATCTAATGTACTGAAAGAGGTGAAATTGACTCATTTAGCTTTATTTTTTATATTCTCTTGTTTTGGAAACTTATATACTCTATCATTTTTATATTTTTGTCCCTATTTTATAGAGACTAAGAAACCCTTTTCTTTATTTCTCCATATATATAAATATACTCCCGCTGTCCCTTTTTATCTTGCCACTTCCATTATTTGGATGCCTTTAATTAATCTTCTCATTTCCTTTTAAAGAAAGAATTGTGTGATTCACATTACTCCTCTCCTCTACACAAATTCAATCACACAATTCCACCTTACTCTCCGTGTAAAAAGCAAATGGGAAGATTAAACAAGGATGGAGGGAGTACATTTTTTAGTTTATAAATTGTATAAATCTCAGCATAATCAACTATTTTAGTGATTACCAAACGAGTTCCTATCATTGGTTATCAAGGGGACAAGTCGAGTCGGTGAAGAGGAGGCTAGTGGACTAGTCCTCCTACTAATCGTAGACTAGTCAATAAAATAACAATTTATTGAAATTTTTAACATTATATATATCTTCATTGACCAAAGATTATGACAAAATATCATTACCAAAACAAAATTATGTTTAAAGGTAGCACACAAAGTCACATCACGAAGGGTACATAAGAAACAATTACCATTCAATCTTCAAAAACAACACACCAAATACCAACAAATATAACAAGCACAAAACCAAGTTAAAGATAAAGACAGAGACGAGTGAACAAGGGAGGCGACGCTTTTACAGAGTATTTTCTAAAATTTAATGAAATTTGGGTCGGGTCGGGTCAAATTGGGTTGGGCAAAAAAGGGTAGGGTTTCCATCAGCGACTAGTTGTCGCTTTACATGACCGGACGACTAGTCCACCCAAGTCACTAGGCAAAAATCAAGTCGCCACCACCAAAACAAACGGACGACTAATTGACGACCTAACAGCAATGGTTCCTAAAACTACAAATTCTCACCTTCCACTCCATCTTCTCAATGGACTTCTAAATGATGCTTTAAAAGAAAACTGAAATGTGTGGCGATCACAAATTGAGTGAAAGATATGCTCATATGCATATTGGGTTTCACAGTATCTACCTAGAAACTCCTCTTCCATGTTCCTAGCTTTTCAGACAACTCTAAAATTGTCTTTTACTCCCTCCGTCCCAAAAAGAATTACACTCATCATTATTCAAAACTAACAGAAACTTTTGTTTATTTGTACGTTTGGATTGATTATTTGATAAAATAAAATATTCTTGTCACCTCTAGTTTTGTATAACATTTGACATAGTTTTTAAATATACAAATTTATTTTAAATTTCTATAGCAATCTTTGAATAAAATGAAATTAAAAAACTTGAAATTTTGCTTCATTTTGCGTGAAGTGTAAAACATTTTGGGACAAAGGAAGTATTACCTTTGAAGCCAGCTGCAAGCACAGTAGCGAGAATGCCACCATTGTGAAGTTCAGGGTGCCCAAGCCCATCACCCTCTACTGCCAAGCAGCGTAATACAACTTCAATGCAGTATTTGTCCTTGGAAGAAACATATACATTCACCTGCACAAAAATTTAATGCATTTTGATATTAGTCTAAGGCAAAAAGCATGCGGAATATACATCCTTGCACAAACCGTAAGATGATTTTACTGTCCAAAAAAGTCATGTTTCACGAAGGTACAACTTTTTGTTTTTAGTCAACTCAATCACGGTACACAAAAAAAACTCTTTTAGGTTATTGAAACAGTTTTTTTTGGGACAGAGTAGTTCGGCAATCTCTACTAATATATAATGGAATGCAGTCGAATACAGAGTATACTTTTTGCATAGATTTACATTACAAATGCATCTGATTACATTATATTACATTACGTCTTGCCAAACTACACCTAAAGAAAGGATCCTCATCCCACACATTTTTAATTTTCTATGATGTCTGTAAGAGAAAGGTGGGAACAAACCATTAACTGACGGTCTAGCACTTCTTTGTCATTCACTGAAGAATAGAGTGCGCTCATCAATGTTGCACACAAGGTGGAATCCGGAGTCATACACTCCCCAGTAGGTAAACACAGCATTGCAATGGCATGCAGTTCCAAGAACAGTGTTTCCTCTGACTCGTTAATGATGTGATCTTGAGTTGGAATCATCCAAGAATATTCTTCTCCTAATACATATAAGGACAAATGAAATTTCTCAAGGATAAAAAAGGACTCCTAGAGTAACGCTGGTTATTAGATAAATAAAAATTAAAAAAAAAAAGGAGGGGGGGGGGGGTTGGGAGGCAATGAGCAATAGTGAATCTATTGAAGATTAAAAAAAAGTCTACATTAAATAATCTATTAACAGTCCAGTTGTGGTAATCTCATATTCTTTTACTGACTCACTTTGAACCAGTAACAATGAAGCCTGTAGTGCCTCCTTAGCGGCTGCAGCTGCCCTGTGTTTTTCCTCATCTGATAGTTCAAGAGGAGAAATTTCTGCATTCTCTAGTTCAATTTGTAGCCAGTTCCGATATGTGGCATCACAAGAGTAGTACTCATTCTGTTTCACATGATAAAATAAGAGTGTTATGACAATATCTCACGCAGCAAAAACCAAGAAGGTGACACATTTAGTAAACAATTACGAAGGCATACCCAGTCCTGGAATTCCCTGAGATTCAGGGAAACTTCAAGATCACCAGTGGAAGGAGTAGTTTCTGTTAGGAATTTCAAAGGCTCAGCAAGTAAACTGAGTAGTGTGTGTGCTCCGATGGGCATTGCTGGAACTCTCCACATTGAAATAAGAGCAAACTCCCGGAAAAGCATGTTGCTACCACAATTACAGTAATTCCAATTACATACTCATATCACATATTCAACAATCATCATAGAAACACCTAATAGATAATATTATTAGTATTAATATTAGTATTACTATAATAGTTTGTAAGGCGTCGCCTAGGGCGTTGTCACTGGGACGCCTTTGTTTGCTCGCCTAGGCGTTGCCTTACCTCACCTTGATGCCTTGGGCCCCTTTAAAATTTTGAAAAAACCCATTTTTTAGTGCAGCCCATTTTCTTTTAGTGTAGCCTAATAGACTTAAACTTATCTTCTCTCTCTCTCGGTCTTCTCTATCTCGATCAAGCTTCCCTAAAATGTATAAGACCCATGCATGCATGCATGCATGCATGCATGCATGCATACATGCATACATACATACATACATACATACATACATACATACATACATACATACATACATACATACATACATACATGCATGCATGCATGCATGCATACATACATACATACATACATACATACATACATACATACATACATACATACATACATACATACATACATACATACATACATACATACATATGTAGGTATGTATGTCGCCTAGTCGTGCGCCTGGTTGTCTAGGCGATATGAAGGTACATTGGCGCCTCGCCTCGCCTTGCTGCCTTACAAACTATGATTACTATATTAGTTCAATCTTGAGAATATGGTACACTTTGATTTAGGCATTAATAGGGGTGATTTAAATACTTTATATTAGCACCCTTCTTGTGTGTGTGTGTGTGTGTGTGTGCACCCGCGGGTGTGTTTGTGTATAAGTCACTTGTATTATGTAAATCAAGTAAACTCGTGGTATCAAACTGGGTTGTTGTTATTATTGTTGTTAACCAAGTAAACCTCTGATAATCAATTACAGGTTCAGGCTACTTCTCTGGATAATCTTGGTGAAGTCAAACAAAAGATTAAAAAGAAGGAAAGAAGAATGAAAAGCTATGCAATATGGGCTGCTTGTGTATACTGTGTTTGGACAGCTAGGAACAGAAATATGCACCAGAAAAAACTACTGAAGAGGAAGCAATCAGTTATGCCATATTTTATTTACATAGTTTCTTCACTTATAGAAAGATGTAATTTCTTGGTTGGGTGCTGTCTGTATCATTGACATCTGTAGGCTGTGAGTTTGATGTTGGCAATAAAGTGTGTTTACGGTGCACAACAACAACAACAACAACAATAATAGTAATATTATTAATAATAAATGCCCACCAAACAACAATGGAAGATATGGTTGCTATTAATGGCTCTTTTATAGAGTGTAAATATATAATTGCTCCCTCAAATAAATGTAAAATTTGACAAGGAACAAGAATAAAGAAAATGTATTACCTATGCCTCAATGCCCGAAGAAGTAGTTTGGCACTGATTTCTTTTGCTGATTTGATGGAAGGAGGGGGTGTAAAGCAAAGCCACTGAACAACCATAGCCTTTTGAAGACTCTGCAGGCGGTGTTGCTCTGCAACATCATTTAGGCTATCATACTCTTTGTCTTTGGTTTCCCGAGACCTTGATAAAATCCTGATTCAAAAGATAAATACAATTTGCTTACACAAGAATCACAACAAAATTAATCTTATAAATGATTTGTTCGGAATGTGGCGAAAACAGAAATTATGCCTCAGAGATTAGAAAAAACCTTTTGATGATTTCTTCAAAACTGCCTTTTGAATCATCTTCATGAGTAAATGGCAAATACTCAATGGCAGAAAGAAAGATCTTATATCTGACATGGGTACTGTTGGCAATGACAAGGGCAAGTAAAATAGCATGAGACATTTGATAGAAGGCTGAGGAACAAAAAATAAAACTATAATGCTCAAAGCAATGATCCCTAGCTTTATATGAAATGTCATTTTCTATTTTAAAAAATAGTTATTAGAAGTATTTGGAAAAGACCGTGTTGGTCCCAATAAGCATTTTGGAGCATCTGCTTATAGTGTTTTGGATTGAAGCTTGGTTTACAAAAAATCCTCATTTCAAGCTTTATGAAACACATCTAGCACATACATCTAACAACCAAACAAGCATTATATAATACAAATTTGTTTCTCATAGGAAACTCAGAGAAAACTTATTCAGAAGTTACCATGTCTAATGGCAATGTGATCGGAGGTTATTATTATATAACCACTACATAACATCCTTGACACATGGACTATGCAGTTCAATCACATAACCCGTAGTTTAAAAGGCGCTCACCTCCCTCACCTGAGGCACCTCAGGCAAGCTGTTACTGCCTGAAACAAGCCAAGTGTGGTGCCACCAGTAAGGCGCAACTCCGTCGTTCACCTTCCTGGCCTCAATCAGTTGCCTGAGGTGATTGCCTATCTTGCCTTGCAGTAATTAAAAACTGGGCTGAAATTATTAAAAATTGTGGGCCTTACACGATCGAATCAGTTGGCAATCCTTTATTTATTGCCTTCACGCCCAAACTGTGCCTCATCTTTGTATAACATCTATAAGGATGCAGAAATGGAATCCACGTGTACTCAAGAGCCAGATTCCTCTGTCTTCTATGTGTCATCTTCAAGCTTGGCGAGCATCACAACACCGGTTCATCCTTTTTGTGTTTTTCTGGTGCAGTCTAATTTTGTTTTGTTCTCAGTCTTTTGTTGGATTATATTACTCTATATTAAAATCGTGGCATATCAACTAGCAAGCGAGAAATGCTTACTGCAAATTTTTTTTGCAAATATCAAGATTTTGCATTACGTAGGTGGGGCAGCAAGCTTACTGCTGATTTCATTATTGCTTTGTGTTATCAATTTAAGATGTCATTGATCCTATATCCTCGGATAACCAATACAGAAGGTTTGCAAAGCCGCTTCCAAAGAGGAGTTACGGTTGTCAAGCTTTTGTACCAAAAGCTCTCGTACATATGCAATCCTTTTGAGAAGAACAGTGTCTTTTCTTGGGCTGCCAAGAAAAGACCAATCCCAAGCCTTGGATGGCTTTTATCTGGCACTCAACCATACCTCCTAAATGCTCCTTTACAATGTGGTTAGCATTTAGGAGGAGGCTGCCCACAAAAACAAACTTGGAATTCTTGGGGATACCCATGGAATGCGCACTTTGTGGGGTTGATCTTGAAGAAATTGATCACCTTTTCTTTGATTGCTGGGCTTCAAAAATAGTATGGGGAGCCATTAAAGAGTGGCTACGGGTGGATGGTCATCTCAGCACAATTGACAGGGCTGTCCGTTGGTTAAAGGCGCCTAGGAGAGGGGATGCCATCTTGAAGAAGGCTAGGAAGGTGGCTCTCGCTTGCACAGTATTTCACATTTGGAAACAGCAGAACGCTTGCCAGTTTGACCAGGAGCCTCTTAACGTAGAGGGTATGATTTCTAAAATCAAGGTTATGGTTTACACAATTGTGGGGAGGATTTGGCGTATACATTCCCTTTCCTTTTGATGTTGTTTGGAGTGTTGTTGTACTATTGACCCGTGTAGGGCTCCTTGGATTTGTAATGTGCTTTCCTTTGTTTTTATGATGACTCTTGGTATGTATTCGGAAATCGGTTCTTTCCCATTTCCAAGCTCGGGTATGCCCGTTCTATTTGTACATTCCCTTTCTTTTATTCTATTTACATTTTTACCGGAGAATGTAGTGAGTAGTTAGGGGGTGATATTGTCAAGTGGAAACCAATGTGCATTGTTTGTTGCATCAAATATGATGGTAGAGTGTTGTTTGAGACTGCAGAGGTGGTTATGTTGCCGTTAATCGATGGGGGGAATACTTCTGTTGCCTCTTAAATGCGGAAGGAGATTCGAGGCTGGAACTAGGTGACATGGGGCAATCCAAGGCACTTCGAGACTTTGGGTATTTCCAGCACATTAGTCTGGAGGAGGTTGCTCATGCCATCTGTGGGATGTGTACGGGGAGAGCTTTGGGGCCGGATAGGGTCCTGGTAGTGTTTTGGAAGCATGTGGGTCGCGGTGGGTTGGCATGGTAAACCAAGCTCTTCAATGTAATTTTTAGGACGGTTAGGATGCTTGACAAGTGAAGGGAGAGCGTGTTGGTCCCTCTGTTTAAATGTAAGGGAAATATTGAGAGTTACGAGAATTACAGGGGCACCAAACTACTTAGCCGCACCATGAAGGTTTGGGAGCGAGTCATTGAGTACAGGCTGCGGAAGGGGGTGTGCATTTCCGAGAAACAGTTTGGTTTCATGCCTGAGAGATGCCATTCACCTCTTACAAAGGTTGATGGAAGAGTATAAGGCTAAAAAGAAGAATCTTCATATGGTGTTTATTGACCTTGAGAAAGCGTAAGATAGGGTGCTAAGGAGGTCCTGTGGAGGTGTCTTGAGTGTAGAGGAGTTTCAATCGGTTACATTTGCGCAGTCAAGGATATGTACAACGGAGGAAGGACTAAGATATAGACTGACATGGTGAGTTTGAGCCATTCGGCCCATTCCCCATAGAGGTGGGGTTACACACTTACACCAAGGCTCTGCGCTTAGCCCTTTCTTGTTTGCTCTTGTGTGCCTATTGATGACACCCGCGAGGGACTAAACGACAAGTTTGAACTCTGGCACCTTTCCTTGGAATCCAAAGGACTTAGACTAAGTAGGATTAAGAGTGAATAAATGGAAAATCGTTTCAGTGGCCAAGAGACAGAACCAGAAGTGGAAGTTAGGATTGATACTCACCTAATGCCCAAGGTTGACAAGTTAGATGGGATGTTGTGCATTGTGTGGGAGCGGCTTGGGGCAAGTGGTGGTTGGCTTCAGTGGTTCTGTGCAATAAGAAGATTTTGGCTAGGATGAAAGGTAAGTGTTCTAGACTGGGATGAAAGGTAAGTGTTCTAGAGCTCCGTAGTTAAAGGGCAGAGTGTTGGGCGGTTAAGAAAACCTGCATTCGTCGATTGCATGTTGTGGAGATGTGGATGTTGGATGTGTGGGCAGACGAGTTTAGATGGGATTCTGAACGAGGTTACCCAAGGTTGGGTAGGCATGGCCCCTGTGGAAGATAAGGTGTGAGAAGCGAGGTTGAAGCGGTTTGGGCATGTGAAGCGGCGGGATGCTGACGCCCGGTGCGGAGATGTGAGAGGCTTACATTGGTTGGTATGAGTAGGGAAAGGGGTAGACCTAGGAAGAATCGGAAGGAAGTAATTAGACAAAACTTAAGACTTCTTTATCTTACTGAGGATATGACCTTAGATAGAAGCGTTTGGAGACATAGTTTTAGAGTGGTTAGATAGGCACCTTGGGCTAGGGGGAGTCTCATGTACTTGTTGTGTGCTTTATATGCCTTGCATGTTTGGTGCTCGTTGATTGCATTACTTTTCTTTCGTTAGCTCTAGCTTGTTCCTTGCCTGTATGTACTATGCATGGGCGGCCCACAGCAGGTTCAACCTATTGTACCGCACAGGGCCCAACTTTGTAGAGGGTCCAATTTTTATTATCCATAATACGTACAGAGTACGATGCAATATGGAGCATTGGAGCATCTGCAGAGATGCAACCAACATCGCGTGTTACTGCAGTCTACAATATTCAGATCCCCTTTCTCCCAATCTCTCATCTTCTAAGTTCTGATTGCTTTAACTTATTAAGAATTTTTAGATTTCATCACCAATTTAACCCTATGAAGTTCTTTAGATTCCTTTTTGTTTTTGGTTAGAGTTTTTAGATTTCATCACCGATTCCACCATATGAGTGAGGTTCTTTAGATTGCTTTTTCTTTTTATTTAGGTTTTTATCCAAGCATATGAAGTTCTTCAACTTCTATCTGAATTTCGATCCAACCATATGAAGCTTTTAAATTTCTTATTATAGGTTTCTTGTTCTTTAGGATTTATGAATAGGATTAAACTTTGTTAGTCATTAATTTAAATACATAGTTTTTTAAATTACCACTCAGTATTTAAATTACTATGTATTTTAAAAACTATGTATAGCATAATTACCACTGTTTAAATTACCACTTGGACCTAATTACCACTGTTTGCTTCATTTTTAACAACTCAAATTAGGTGGTGGGCCTCCAAGTCCGGAGACTTTGGATTGGATAAAGAGGGGGGCAGAGTTTGGGTACTTAGAATCCAATACACGGGTGGGGGTAACTTTCAGGTTCAATACATACAAAAACAAACCTCAACATTTTTTATAAACCTAAACAAATATAAGGCAATGGGTAAGCTTAACAGATAGAAATAGGATGTGGACATCTTGTAGGCACAAATAGGATAATAAATGTGAATGAAAAAATCATTAGACAATGGGGAAAGGTTATATTTAACAGACTGCATGCAGATTATCACCTGCTGTTAAGACGCAACTCCATCATATTCAAAAAAAGATCGATGCAACGATGACCAGCAAGTTGAGATGCATATATCCCAACTAACTCTTCGTGGTGATTTGTAAAAAGAAACATGGCATATCTGAAAATTGAATTCACAAAGAATGTGAACAAATCATACATTTACTTTAGTAATTGGAAGGGGAAAGCTGTGAGAGTAGTTACGGGATTGAACAAACCAAATAGTATAGCAAACATTAAGTTTGGTTCATGACTTCATGGTAAAGTCTTATGCACTTGTGCCAAAAACCAATAGTACAAGTAACCAGATTTTAGACATGCATAGGCAAGGATATGTTACAGGGCAAATTCAAGAGTTTTTTTTTCATTTGTGTTAAGATTGAAATAGTGATCTTCTGTTCTTTTATACCAAGAGCCAGAATACCTTGGAAGAAAAATTGTATGAAAATATTGAAAAAAGCATGCACTCCCTCCATAGTCCATACCACTGTGTTTGTCTAAATTTACCATTTTGGTCTGTCCCAGAATGTCTGTCACGAACCATATTTGTCTTAATTGTGTGGTTTAGTTGTTTAAAAGCATCCATATTTTATCGGTACATTACAAATTCAATATTACCGCATAATTCTGTTTTTCCTGTATTTTCATGTCATTTTCATTGTCCCAAACTTAGTGAGAAAAGGGGAGTACTACATAAATACCTGAAATGTTCTTTTGGATTTGATCAAAGGAAGTGCAGAACAGAATAATAATAAGAATACTTAAAGTTGAGACAAATGAAGCAAAAAAAGAAATTTAAAGCACTTACATGTGAAGAATAAGATCGCCAACTGTCATTACTTTCTCTCTGAAGTCATCATTAATCTGATCAAAAAGTAATAACCGAATTACAAGCACTAGATGTGCACCAAACCGCATCATCTGTGGATCACCATGAGGCCTGACAGAGGGAGAATAGTTATTCATCACGAATGCTGGATAATTCATAGTTTATCAGCTAGTCAAGATTTTGGTAATGGTGCAAATGGAAGTGATACCAATTACATAGTTATATTCATATTATCAAACACCACCAACAACCGATGAAAATAACTGAGACAATACTTTTGCAAACCAAGTCTGACAATCAAAGAAAAGCACCACTGATTTTGTTAGAGCCAATGTTCATGATTGTGCAATCCCTTTAAGTCTCAAGGCGGACAAATCTTAGCTATTGTTATAGCATATATGCCTTGAGGCTGTGCTTAAAATGTGCAATGGTGATGCTTACGCAATGTGGGGCTGATGTGTATGCATCATTAATTAAGGTGGGTCATTTTTAATTAAGGTGGAACAGATATTAATTAAGGTGGGTCATTTTTATAAAGCCCGCTTTTTCCTTTGAAACTTTGACTAAGGGCTGCACAAGGTTCTAAGACTTCTCTTCTGTGATTGCCATGCACTTTAACGTCCCTTTTGCAGAAGGTTTTTTTCTCTATTTTTTAAGATTTATGTTATTTTGTTATTGTCGGTAATGTTATAAACAGCAAGGTTACGAATGACTGCAGTTGTAAGCTGACTTCTCTAAGCTGCACTTTTTTTGGAGTAATGGTTTGGCTGCTCCCCCCCCCTCCCAAAAAAAAATTAAAACAGTTAGTGTCGCTGTTGAATAAGGGAGCTAGTGGTATTGATGGAACTTTTTATTTTTAATTTTTATTATCTTTATGAACGGATAAAGATGATGATGGACAATATACCAGTAGTTTTCACCCAATGTTAAACCACCGGGCACTACTGCACTAGATATTAATGATCTTATCCTTCATTACTCAAACTAATGAGCTCAAATTGTTTTGGAATACGCAACTATTTTGTAGTGTTATGACCTCATTGTTAGATTTGACTGAATTTCTTGATTTTTTAGGAATATGTTATTATACTCCCTGACCTGATTTTTTTTCAGCTTCTTTTTGGCACTTGTACAAAGAAAGTTATGGTTGTGTGTTACAAAAGTTACCCTTAATTCTGAAGTCAAACTTTTCAAAATGGTGCCAAAAAAAATCTGCAAATAGGTGGACACGATGACAAATACAATGTGACAACTCAAAGGAAAAGCTGGACTAAAACTGTGTGTGGATTGAGGGAAGGCAAGGAAAGGGAATGGAAGTGAAGGGTAATGAAAGGAGGGAGAGGAAGAATCCTCCACTTGGCTTGGAAGGAAATGAAGGGAAAGGGTAAGGAGAGAAAGGGACGAGTCCCTCCATTTCCTTCAAATCTCATTCCCTTTAAATGGGGGCCAAGAGTGATTTGGAGGGATGGAGGAGCAGCGGCAGAGCGACGGAGGAATCTTTGTAGATCTCTATTGACAACCTATCTTGTTTCTGCAATCTGCATCTAACCCCAATCTTTTTCTCCCAAAAGCGAGAAATCAAATGGAATCAGAGAAAGAGCAATGACCATGCAGCAAATTTTGAACTACACTTGACTCGCACAGGAGGTGAAGAAGAAGGTCAGCAGCGGTGCAAACCTAGTGCCCGGGAAGAAGAATGCCAGCTCCAGACTAATTTTCTCTCCCTTCCCTTCCAATTTTTATCCAACAAAATATTCAATCCAAACACAATCCAAACCCCTCCTTTCCTTTCCTTTTCTTTCCTTTATAATACCCTCCATTCCCTTCATTAAATTTGATCCCTTCTATAGCTCATAGCAAACACATTGGGACAAAGGAGCATTAATTTAATTGATATCTAATATTACAACAACGAAGTCTTATCCCACTAGGTGGGGCCGGCTACATGTATCAAACATTGCCATAGCGCCCCATCATATATCCGCAGCGAGACCATTCACACGACGATCCCTCTTGATCACTTCATATCAAGTCTTCTTAGGTCTACCTCTTACTCTAGCCACATGTTTATTCACCATTTGATCAACCCTTCTCACCAGATGCTTTATTGGTCTTCTCTCCATATTTCAAACCACCTAAGACGAGTTTCCATCATCTTCTCTACAATAGGTGTTACTCCAACTTTAGCTCTCATATTTGTGACCACTCATCCATCAAGGCATCTTCATTTAGGTCACACTAACATTGCGTTCATGTTCATCTTTTGTTGTCCAACACTCTATTACACACAACATCATAGTTGTCACGGCACTAAGGCGAGGCACGGCGCCAGTTTACCACTATGACGCGACGACTAGGCGATCGCCTAAGCAATAATTAGGCGACTTAGCGGCAACAAATAAGAAATCGGGATTGATGTACATTAGTATGACTAAGTAACACTAGTATAAATATAAACATAGATGTTTTCTGATTCTAACCCACACTTTAAATACACATACTTTAAAAAAATATAAACACGCCATTATATAAAAATAAAAAAAAAAGAATATGAAATACGAAATATGATTAAAAACAATATGTGACTTCTTAGTGCAAAGAGAGAGTATGAAAAGAGTCACTAAAAGGCAAAAAATATTTTCAAAAGGCGACGCCTAGGCGAGGGATTCAAAAAGAGGCAAGGCGATACACTAGGCGAGAGGAGCATAGTGTTAGGATGCTAGGCCGTGACAACTGTGTACAACATAGTCGGTCTAATCGCAGTACGGTAAAATTTTCTCTTTAGTTTTAAAGGTACTTTTTTTATTACATATAAAGCTCGAAGCACTGTGTCATTTTGACCAACCAGCTTGAATCATATGGTTAACATCATCATCTATTTCTCCATTGTCTTGAATAATAACCCCAAGATATTTAAATCTCTTTACTTATGGTATAGTATTTTCTCCAACTTTCACCTTGGTGTTACTATTTCTCCTATTGTTAAACTTGCACTCTGTATGCTATGTCTTAGTGCAACTCATACGAAAGTCATGCAACTCCAAAGCCTATTTCCACAAATCCAACTTCCCATTCGAATCCTCTCATGATTCGACCATAAGGATGACGTCATTGGCAAAGGGCATGCACTATGGTATGGGTTCTTGGATATGCTCGGTAAGAACTTCCAATACTAGCATAAAAAAGGTATGGGCATGCAATTCCTCTGTTACCCCACTTTGACTATACTCTATCCTTATTTGCACGAATATACGCAATCCATACTCTTTTTTTCTCTAACACCTTCCACAATACTTCTCTTGGTACCCTGTCATATGCTTTTTCCAAATCAATAAAAGCCATGTGTAAATCTTTCTTCTCACTTTGGCACCTCTACATCTTTCTCCTCACCAAATATATAGCCTCTGTAGTGGATCGGAGTATTAGAGATCTGCATGTCTCCTCAGTAAACAGATCATTGACTTCTAGTTATTTTTAACATCATTGACTTCTAATATTATTTGTAATAATTATAAATGTGCTAAAAATAGAGAGCAATACAAAATCCAACTAAAGCACCTCAACTACGTAATACAAAATCTAATCAAGCCACCTTGACTACACAATACACGATTTCAAAAATTGATTGCAGAAAGAATGATAATATAAAAAATGATTGGAGCAATATTACTTTAAGATGTAATAAAAGAAAAAAGGTGGATTAATAGGCAAGCAAAGAAAAAGAGAATCTCAGTCTAAAGTATGGACACATTGAGGTCAATTCAAACTATTTAGATAATCATAAACTGCTTGAACAAGAGCAAAGAAATGAACTTCATAAATGACCTCTGATGCATTGGCACCTATGACTATACTCTGTATTATGAGTGAAAATATCAGAACACTTGCACATGGAAACCATAAATCAAAGCTAGCCGCAGAGATCCAAAAACTTTACCTGAACATAGTTTCATCATATTCTGCTGGTGAAATCCATGACCATACAAGATCTAGCATATGAGGAATGTCACCTAGCATAAGGTTCATCTGTTGACAAACTTCAGTTATATAGACAATGCAAGTTCAAATGCATGGTTATGAAAGGCGAGAGCCTTGATCGCCTATGGCGTTTATGGCACTGTGGCGAGGCTATGGCGCCTGGATTGGGCTGTGCATGACGATGTCCTTGAGGCGAGGAATGGCGATCGCCATTTTCGATGCTAATTATGGCGTATGGCGTTTGCAATTGAGTGAATTGACGCAATTAAGTTGTGGGTCAATTTTTTTCACTGTTCAGGCTTCATCCAAGGGAGCAATTAAATTGGTCCTCAGCTCGTTTCTAAATAAAGATCCGCATTACCTCTTCCTGTAACCTGATCGTCATTCCAGGCTTCTAGACATCACCAGATTGTCTCTTCTGCAAATCTGCTCCCAGTTTTCTATCACAGCAGGTCGCAGCTTCCAGCGGCTATTTCTCAGTTGATTTCCTCCAAGTCGTGCCAGCACTCAAGTAGGTCACTTTTTAATTCTAAATTTGTGTTTTATACTTTTATTTTAATTTTTGTATTATATATTCAATTTTTGTAATATGGGAAAATAATTTATGTTTCATTCTTCGAATTTAATTTAGCAACTTATTGTTTTGTTTTCCTTTAAGATTTATACATTGTTTAAGACTTTATGATATGCCATGCACAATTTGTGTGTGTGTGTGTGTGTCTATGTGTGTGTGTGTGTGTGTATACTCGTTCTTTTTTGTTTGCCATTTGACCGCAACGCCACTCACCACAAAAAAAGGTCCTCTTGCCCGCCCGTCACGCACCTTTCATAACTATGTTCAAATGTTGGAAACACAACTAAAAGATCAATAGCTAGATTAGCTACAAGACACTGTTTCAAATGCAAAATACAGATTTATGCTGAGATTTTTTACCTCAATTTGTCTATGCTGCTCTTTGCAAGATCGAGCAACAACCTCATGCACAGTGTCACTATTGCATACAAAATTAAGGAATTAATAAGGTTGGGAAAAGGAACTGCTAATAATAACCCAGAGGAATGTATCGTGTGTTTACATGGAATGGAGTTTCTGAAGCAATGAAGTAAGATGCCTTGGTTGCTGATTCATCACTTGAAGGGGCCAACTATCTGGACCTATTGCTGACTGAGTAACACCATTTTCTTGTTCCAGACTTTGGTCAAGAGCTTCTTCATTAAACTGAATATTTCCACCTGGCTGCAGGCGTGCTAATTCCATATCAACCAGGACATCTAGCCATGATTTGGCCATTGCCCAGCAAGCAGACTGGAAAGAAAGAGAATAACTTCATGAATCTTTTGAAGAAACAATTGATGTAAAGAAAATAAATCAAGATTCATGAACATGAATTATAACATTCCAAATTGGTTCTCACCGTATGATACAGCATCTAGAATGGATGTTGAAAAGGCCATTCATGCTACATACACCCCCACCCCCCATAGCTACCCAGAAGTTCCCATATCTATCGCTCCCTCCGTCCTTAAACAAACATCAGACATTCCTTTTTAATCCGTCCCAAAGTAATCTCCCACTTTCTTATAATTCCAATCACATACTTTTTACCTTTCAACTATCTTATAAAAATGTGTCCAACCGAAGTGGGAGCTTAAATGGGGGCAGAGGGAGTAAATAAAATATTAAATTAAATAAAAATGAAAGAAATAAAATTAAATAATAGAACTGAAAGGTGCATATTTCAGGATGAAAAGAAGAGGTCAGACATCCGTGAACCACCCCTCTACATTTTCACTCAATCTGTCTTGTGTTTCTCTTTCTTCCGGTACATTTTTATTGAGCAATGAGGGTGCTTTTGGGATATTTTGGGTTTAAATCACCCCAACTACAATGTTTTACTATTAAATGTATGGTCAATCGACATAGACCTAGGTTATTCTGGTCTTGTTTGGTGATTTGGCCATCATCTTTGTAGCATTTGGCTGTTCATCATCGTGTTGTGGCCTTTTTTGGGTGGGAAAATTCAGACAGCAAAAATATATTCAATCCTACAGAGACAAAAATAAATAAAAAGAGTCCGGTAAAGGTACACCTTTTAAATTCTGAGTAAGGTACAACAGTTATAAAACATGAAAATTAGATTGTTAATTAAGTAAGACTCTTTTTGGGACAATGTCAAGAAACTGGACTCTTTTTATGGGACGGAGGGAGTAATAGAAAAGCACAAGTTATTTTGCAGAATGACAGATAAGGAGTCAAAGTGTTTTCAAAAACACGTAGGCTTTGAGCCAATTTAGTATATGCTATTGACATAGGTGCTATGGATCTTTTAATATTTTATCACCCTATGGTTTTTAGAAGATTTGTAACTGTTTCTAATAACTGATTGCTAGTTTACAACAACAACAACAAAGCCTTATCCCACTAGGTGGGGTCAGCAGATTGAATGCTAGTTTAAATAAATAAAATGATTTTATCATCAACAAAAAAATGGAAAGGAAGAGATGTACCTCCCAATTTGTACACATTGGAAGAATGCGCTTTAAGTTACTGCATTGTGCTGCATAAACTGCAATTTCATATTTTCCTCCATCTTGCTCTGCAATTCTCTTCGGCATAAAGGAGAATAAATGAGACATCAGTATTTAAGAGAGAGAAATGGCCAGCCAATTTAAACAAAAATGTAGCATGAGAGCCTGTTTCGGTGAGCTCCTATTTTTTCGTCTTATCTTCCTTGACAGAAGGCATTTTTGTTTGCCAAACTCAAACAAATTTGACAGTTCTGGCTGAACTGCTTAATTTCAAAATGAAAAAGAAATGTAGTAAATTTTTGCTGAAGTTGAAAATGAATTAAAATGATATTTCTACCCAAACAAGCTCTCAGTTTTCTTGAAATAATGAAAAAATACTTGCATGGTTAGACCTTTTCTGGACATAAGATGTTGTACATATTTATGGGCTTTATTTTGATTTCAGAAGATAATGGAAAACACCTTTTGGTAAGGAACCAAAAGATAGTAGAGAACACTTTGAGTAATTAAGCAAATATACTGAACGTGACAATTCAAACGTTTGCTCCATCTACCTCTGATGCACAATAACAAGCCCACTTCCAAAGACGGCGTTGGTGACCAATGCCAGTTTCCAGTTCAATGGCTTGCAGAGCCCTAGTCTTTCCATTTTTTATCAAGGCTTCAATTGAGGGTTTCTGATCCAACCTTCCGAATGGAGATAAAGTTGCTGCCCTCCAAGGCTATTAACATGCAAATTGAGTCAATTAGAAATAGTAATTTCCTTAAGGAACAATGGCCGTGTTTAAAGACAGTAGGACACCATATTTTAAAGCTATTGGCTAACCTGCCCAGCAGAACGACAGAGATTGCATGCTTCTTCTAGTCTGCCAGCCCTTAGAAAGGTCCAAACATCTTCTAGAAGTGATTCATCTTGCTTCTGCATGCAAAAACAATCATATTTAAAATTAGATGACAACTAATTCATCACTGCGCTTCTATAGTTCTATGACATAAAACTTGGGAAGATCAAATATCAAATTAGACTGATCGTGTTTGGCAAAGTTTTTAAGGAAACATGTGATATACAATATTCCATCCTAAATTGCACTTCTAAATAGGAAAGTTTAGACCCATCTAAAGTAAAGAAGGAATAAAGGGTATGTTGGGAAACAGATAAGTTGAAGATGTTTAAATTATACTCCAGTTAACACTTAAAAACATTTAGGACAACTAAGCAGGAATGACTAACATACAAAATGCAAAGGAGAACGTATTATACAAAAGAAGATTAGGCAAGAGCAATGATGCAAATATTAGAATACCTTGTCATCAGGTAATGGTTGGGCATGTTCCCGTGTTGGGGCATCAAAATCTAGATGACTAATGGTCTTTGCATTCAATGAACCTTTCTTTATGAAACGCTGAGTCTGCTGCCAAACTCCAGAATTTGGAAGATAAGTACCTACATGAGATCCTCGCACCTGCAATATCAAACTAAAGATGGATTTGACAAAGTGGATCCAACCAATATTATTATCCAATGCCTATGTGGAGAAAATTATATACAATTAAACACAGACTCTGTTTCTTTTGAGGAAACACAAACTGACTGTTGATGTGGCATCACCTTAGTGCTACCTGAGCGCCCTGGTGATGAAAGATTCGGAAAGGTCAACAAGGTAGTTTGACCTGCGAGATGGAATAATGACATTGTCCAGAATTGCTGAGGCGGCAACTAGGCATCATGGTGATGCTAAAGCCAATTTTTATCTAATAAGTCTGCTGACATCTTTTACTTCTATATCACTTATGAAAATATCTTAACCTGAAGCAGTGCAATTAACCCTCACTCTATCCACGTCTGACCTTTCCTCTCTTCCAGCCTCTCGCCAGCGTCCCACATCTCTCACAAGAGATCAACACCCTTCACAATCTCTGATTTTATTTTACAGCTTTTCTTTTTTCTTTTTTTGTTTTTGTTCTTGTGCAGTACTGCAGTTATCTCCGAAAGACTACAATGGTATCTACTTTTTTTATTTAGTTTAGCAATCATTTATGTTGCCAAAATTGTCTATTTACTTCCTTTGCAAAAAAAAAAGCTAATTAGATGATGATGCAACCTTTTCATTTTCTATTTTCTACATTTGTATGTTTTGTATGCCTTGTATTCTTGGTGCTCTTTGATTGCATTACTTTTCCTTTGATAGCTCTAGTGTGTCCCTTGCCTCTATGTGCTCCATGCTTTATTTGTGCTTTCTTTGATTTATGCATCCCCTGCAATTGTTTTATATATGCAGCTTGAGCTGGGGATCTCTTGGAAACAGCCTCTCTACTTTTGAGTAGGGGCAAGGTCTGCATACACACACCCTTCCCATACCCTACCCTCGTGGGATCCAACTGGGTTGTTGCTGAAGAATGCTCTCATTAAGAGTTCATCAAGTGTGCCTGACCAATTCTGTCAGGCATGGATGATCTCAGCCCTTGGATTCTGATCTAGGGGACATAACCAATTTGGCTGTTGAGATGATCCGTGCGTGGCAGAGCATTGCTCTTATTCTGCAATTAACTGGTTCAGTCTGCAACTTAATCTGCAATTCTAACAGTTTCATTTTTTCCTACTCTTCAGGTTTTAAAAGCATAGTTGTTACGGCGGCTAGGCGAGGCTGGGCGCTAGAGTACCTTCCAATCGCCTAGGCGATTAGGCGCCCGCAGGCATCCCCTAGGCGAGTGGGCTATGGCGACCTTAATAATTTTATAGGTACTAATGTAAAAGCATATAGTATGCAATAAGTAATTAAAGAGTATATGCTCTGAAATATATGAACAAATGTTGTTTTTTTAAATAAAACACACATTCCTTTTGAAATTCCTTGAACCAAACCTTGTATAAAAGAAAATAGATATCCTCAAAAAAAAGAACACAAATTCCGCTGGCTTTTCTCTGTAGTTAGAAAAAAACACAACACTTTATTACTTTATTGAGAACAGTCGCGCACAAGAGTCGACACACTGTAGCCAGGTTTGCCGTCAAAACTGAAGGGTCGCGTAGCCTATCGCTTCCATTTTCCAGCACGTAAAAGTGGTTTCCATAGATCGCGACCCAAGTATATCTTACAATCTTGCGATCTTAATCACCGATCCGGATGATTGACAAGGATTTCCAATCTTCCTCACAATTCACAATTTGCCCAGGTCAAAAAAAGCTAGGCAACCATTTAGGCATCCACAAAAGCTCGCCCAGACGCCTAAGCGTCACCTAGGCGATGCCTTGATAACTATGTTTAAAAGTGCTTTTTATTTACTCTGAAAATTTTATTGGTTTTTGCAAATTCAATGTCTTGATTTCTTGCCTTTCCCATACTGAGGTGGCATTTTTCCTATTTTGGTTTTTCCCTGTTTATATTCAAATAGATGTTAAATTATGGCGACTATGATGTTTCTCCTAAGAGAAAAATTAGAAGAACAATTTGACATTGGGAAGAATAAATTTTTATAGATATAGTCTGAAGGGGAGTTTAACCGCTAAAATAATGTTCAATTGTTCAGGAAATAACAGAAGCCCTAAATTGCATACTTTGGAGGCTGGGAGAGATTTTAATGCAGTAACTAATATGGCATACCATATGTTGATTATAATAGATAACACTAGAGATCTAGTATCATAAGCATACTGCAAAAATGTTTGACGGATGCATTACCTTATTTTCAAAATCAAGGGCTTTTGACGCTAACCCTTCAAGCCATTGAACTATCCGAAGGCAGAGCTGTGCAGTAAGATTTCCATTAACAAACTGGCAAGCCTCCAAATGTGAAGTAGTTGGGAACTGTAAAAACCATATGGCATAGTAATAATTATATATAGAAAAATAAATTTGGTAAACTAGATCAAGGGATATACAGGAATTATTAAGAGGGATTAGTAGTTGAAGTGTATAGATATCAAAAGGTGCATCACCATAATTAGATCATTAGGGAGCTCGTCATTTCCTGTAAAAAATTGAAGGAGTCTAGATTAAAATAAACTATGTGACAAAATACAAAGGGGAGATCCCACCTTCACAAAGGTAAAGAATAATGCAATTATCACAAGGTTGCTACTAAAAAACATTCCCTTGGCCAGCAAATTAGCTTCTCATTTTCCTTTGGCATGCTTATTAAGAAAAATGAACTCTATGTATGAGATTTATTTAGGAATGAAAAAAATAACAACACTTTCCGTCAAAGAAAAAGGAAAGATAATTTTAAAGCGGATGAGAAACAAAAGAGAGAAGCCAATTTTGGAACAGATGGAATAAAATACAACCCAAGCAGATAAAACAATTACTTGCATAATATATTCTAAAGGTACATTTTGTACTACTAGAAGGTAGAGCTGGCAAACAAGTTGGTGCGGTCTGATTTGGGTTCGATTCCTTCTGGTTTGGGTTACTTTGGGATTGGATAAGTTTGGGTTTGGGTTTGGGTTTGGGTAGGGAAATGCATGTTCATGACCCAATATCACTGGGTTCAAGTCGACCCAACGAGTTATAAATGTTTATTTTTAGAATACTTAAATTTATGCTAGCAGCCTTGAACATGCATTTTACATTAAAAACATAATAAATATTGTAATGAAAATATTGAAGCTATAATAATATTTCCTTTTGAATTTTAAGTTAACTTTTAGATATGTACAACAATACTATAAATAATATATAAAATTTATATATGTATACTTTAAAAAAAAGTAAGATAACGGCATGAGAGCATTAAAAACACCTTTGAAAGAATATGTTTATACACTAAAGAGAGTAATAAGAAAAAAATAATATTTTAACATTATTTTTATCAAATCTTGTTTCATCCTGAAGTACATGATTTTGAAAACTCATACCTTGGCGGGTCTGTCAAGTCAAGTTTGGTCACATTTGACCTATTCTAGCTGATCATTTTAGGTTTTGCCATCTTCGGGTTTGATCAACAAGAACATAGTTCAAACCCCAGTATTTTTGGGTTAGTCTTCATCAAAACAGGTCAAATTAATTTTTGTCAGGTCTACGAGAAGGTACCAAATTTCCAATACTTATACACAAATTTTTAAATTTAAAGTAACAACATAGCCATTTATCAAAGATAAAAGACAACCATATAAGCCAATAAGAACATAAGATATTCATTAATGTTCATATTCATTTCACATGAATGTTCAAAATTCTAAGCATTTTGTAATTTTGTATAGAAAATATCAAGATATGCCTTCTTGCGGCCTTAATGAAAAGTTAAATGCAGCTATTGTGGACTATATGGAATAATTCAAATTCTGACAGCTAATTCATATTAGAAACTCATTGATTGTAAACCAGAAAAACTTTGGTTATCAAAGCACTAAAATAATACCTGCCAATAGCTCATGCAAACTTGTCATGAATGGATAGAATATTTTTGTGGGTGTACACTGAAATCTATTAAACTCCATCGGAAAAAATAAAGCAATAATGCATGAAGTCAATCAAATTACTGTTGATGCACAATTGTCTACTCATGAATTACCTTATTCCAAAGAAGCAAGATGTGATTTAGTAAGCAAGTCCAATAAGGAACTATGCATGACCACTTCCGAAAAACAAACAGAACCAAGTATTTGCAAAACAATTTGACCATATTAAAGCATAATACACATGTAGGATAAAGATTTGCCTTTTCCATAAAGGTACCACAAGAGAGACCATGATGCAGCCTCATCAAGCAACAATTTTGATCTTTGCTTCATCAATTTGTCCTCCCCAATTGTATGATGTTCACTAGAGCCAAATCTGAAATGAATATTGTCAAACCATAAAAATGCTATTCAGGAATATCAACTGCACAATGAAGTGAACCGCCAGAACACAGCAACTCAAACATTTGTGCTAACATGCATGTGTATAAATGAGAGCTTCAATGTCAATGTACGTCAAAAGTGTTAACAATTGAGATTTATTGAAACCCTAGTGTTGCCCAAGTCAGTATGAGCTGAACCCATCTTATGTTCTGTACTTGTATTTGTATAGTTGTATATATACATTCTGTGGTGAGTGGTGAGTGGTAACTGGTAAGTATAGGTCAAGAGGCCCAAGACCGCCTCAAAGTATGCCAGCACCAATCTTACCCAAGGCTGTGGCTAGTCTTACTAGCACGCCTTATCCTTTAAGTTTAATGGTATATGCCATGACAGTTGTATCATAGAGAGACGTATTGACTTTCAAATGAAAATTAAATGTTGTTTACAGTAAAGTAGTCAGAGACAAAGAAAAGTGAGATTTCCTGACCATTTTAGTGCATCAAGTTAGAAAACTAACAAGGCAGTGTCACAATCCTAGCATCAGGAGAAGAATTTTCAGAAGTAAAAGAAAACTCAAATGAACCCACACTTCATGCAAACATTGTACTAATTAACCCCATTATTTTAGCAGTGAATATGGCATGCCATCATCACAAAAGGGGCCCGGTAAACTAGATATGGTGTATATCTATAGCAAGAAAGGTACCTAATTGACTCTGAAACATTACGGCAAGAACTCTCAAATTGTAATACCAATTCAGGTAACGACATTGACCCTGAAGCATAGAGAAAATAAAATGTTAGGCTAAGAGAACAATAAGCTTACTGTGGACAGAAGTTGCCAAAACAAGTGAAGGAAGCAATGTACTTAGTGAAAAATAAGCAGTTATTTTTTCGATAAGCTGTGGCTCTTGGCTGAAAGTGACAGTTTCCTATAGTTGCAGTGTGAGTTCTTTCTCAAAATCTCTTTTGTATGTGTAACTAGTGATATGTTTCTCTCATAATCTCACTGAAAAACAAAGTACCAGCACTGCACATTATATATTCAATAAAACCCTAGTTCAGAATTTGACATGTTTACTTAGTAGCAAGTAGCAACTAGCAAGAGCCACTTTACCAATACATTTGCAATGGATTTGTTAATGTAACCTGATAATTGAAGTATTGAACTATTGAAGAATGAGAAGCCCGCTCAGCTTGAAGAATGAGCCTTTTACGGCAATTGAAGATATTGAAGATAAAATAAAAGGTATACTGAAGTAAATACAACCTTTAAGAGCTGAGTCCAGTAGAGAAGCAAATAAATAAAAGGTTGTTCCCTCGTTATCTTCCACTGCCTCATGCTCTTGCTTGCATGTTGTAATGGATAGGTTTCCACTTTGGCTAGAGACATCAACCCTAGAAACTCCATGACTCTCAGGGGAAGATCTCCATTTTGGATCATGTTGCATTTTTAGAGGTGTTGTTCTGTCATTATCAATGCTTTCAACTTCGTGTCTGATACTTTCCATTAAAACAGCCGAATTTGACCTAATCTCTGATAACCTAGTTGCTGATTTTGCTGGGCGAGTGGCTAAACTTGAAGGAGAGTGCTTTTTTCTGCATATGGCAACTATGATCATTATTAATCCATGAAAAAAGATTCCTAAAAGCCTAGCTTACCATGAGCCAATACTTGCACTACCAAAAGGATCAAAACAGATAGGCATATATGTTTTTCCCCCTTCAAAATACATACATATACACGCATAGTAATAAAATAATAAATATTTCACATTTATTGAGTAAAGAAAATTGAAGACACATGCCCGTGTCCATAATTTTAATTTTTAAGGAAGAGTCTTAAAAATGAAAATCTTAGTGGGCATAGTCAATACCAGGTTACCAACATCATATATACCCTCTTATAGTGCAAAGTATAGCAATTAATAATAGCCATGACTAGCTTTTTTACTAGTTCCTTTCACCTGAAATCTACAACGAACCTACACCTAGAGGGTAGAGATAGAGATTCTTTGTTGACCTATTAACCTCAGAACGCCAAGGGCAGAGGTCCAAACCTAAGCCCACGTTTACCACTTTCTAAAGCCATGGTAATTTAGCTTGGAATAAGTACCAATTCATACAGTCATAAAGCAGAAACAAACTGAGAACAGGCTTTTCCTATTATTCGAAGGAAATAAGATCCCAATCGGGGGAAAGGCTGAGAAATGTTACACTTCTTACCCGTATCGACGGAAACGCTGTCTGATACTGAGATCTTCGGGATCAAAGCTGATTGGGGAGGCTTCCATTTGCACTTCCATTGCTGCAAAGGACGAAATTCGTAAGAGATCTCTGTCAGCGATGGTGTGATAAGCAGCTAATTAAACCCTAAAGTTCAGACTTCCGACTTTCCAAGCGCGGGAAGGGTTTTTCTTGTTGATTCTCAAAGCCGGACTACAAATGTGAAAAAAAGAGACTCGCCAATCGCCATGTGCAAAATTCTGGGTCCTATTCTGTTTTTTTACAAAGTGGTTGTACACTTGTACTTTAAAATTAGTACTCCATTAAATTTAATTTCAATAACTACTTTTATAACAATTAGAATATTAAAATATAAATTTATATTAAATTTAAAAATGTCAAATAATTAGAATAATGAGCATCTAACAATATTGTGCCCCAAAAAAGTTTGGGGACTCGGTGCGGCTCCACACATTGCAAACACTCGGAGCCTCCCACGATGATTCTTGTTAAATAAAAAAATTCAAATGGTTCCACAATAACTTCCGTTCGTTTTTCTTTTTTCATTTTTCTTTAAATAATTTTACCAATGAGTTTCTTTCTTAAAAAAATGATGAGTTTCATTTTCGAGAGTCTCCTCAGACCTGATTGGACACTCAGTGAAAGGTGATGCATACATGGTCTCAAGATCCACATTTAAAATAAGGTCATTCTCACATTTTTCATGGGATTTACCAACGGATATTTTCTATTTTGCAAAGACTCACTTCTTTTATGATATAAATGTACTAAGGTCCATAAAATGAGCATAGACCTTAGGTCCACGGAAAAATTTATCGTCACTAAAAGGAGGTAAATTTTATTTTGATCACAGATTGGTGGTAAAGAGTGGAGTTTGCACTTGTTACTTGCACATGTCATATGCTTTGTATAGTTGTTTTCCAGCACAGTTGTCAAAAATCAAACGCGGGTCAACCCCTTGGTACTTCTCCCTTGCTAACTATGCAACGCTCACTGACGATGAGTTTCTTTCTACGTTTGAATGGCAGAGCGTCCACTATGGAGAAGCTCATTTAAGTTTGATTCCTAACAGAGGTATTGCGTCACTGTGCACACGAACAAATACTACATTGTAATAGAATCAATAACACTCAAATAAAATTATAATTTTTCAAATAAATACCCCTATGTTGTTCGAAGTTTAGTTTTATTGTTTTTGTGTTTTTTTTGAAATTATCATTCTTGTTCATTCATTCAAAGTATCAATACATCCATAAACTCACCCACACGTATTCCGAGAGACTTCTCAAGGGCCACTCATCATAGAATCACTTGAAGTCAAGTATGTTTAATTTTAGAGTTTACGAGTTACTCACCCACACGTATTCCGAGAGACTTCTTAAGTCATCTCACCGCCGATCGATTGATGCTAAGATGCTGTTGTGGTGGCTACCAGCCTCCCTTTTCCCCACCTTTGTTTGAGTCGGTGAGTTGATTCATCTAATCCGTCAAATAATTGAGGTGAGTTCGTGGATTTCCTCAAGGGTAGAAATCACAATTAGCGTTAATTTGTATGCATATCCAATCGTAGATTCGTTTATGTGAAACCTGATTATAATTGTGTGTTTATGATTTTTTTTTTAAATTGGGTGATCGGTGAAGGTGAAGGCCAAGTACGACTTCTTACATTAGAATAAATATTTAATTCATATATATATATATATATATACACACACACACAGAGATATATATATCCTATGTTATATAAATGTGAAAGAGGGTTTGGTACCTCTTAATAAGATGTTCTTTTTCCATCCAAAAAATAGGTAAATTATGCTTTAAATCATGTACATTGTTTTTTAATACCAACCTTACCCATACACCGTTAGTTTTCTCCATCTACTTATATTCCCAATAAATGTCATTTAGTGCTATAGTCTTAGACACACACCAATTCTCACAATAAGAAATTTAGCTCTTTAAAATTTTTCTTTCATTATCTATTTGTGAGATGACTATCCAGAATTAAGCTACTTATAACATTCTCTGTTTGAATTTAATCTTTTCACTTTGACTCTTTTCCATTTTAAAAATATTTTAAAGAGAATAATTTTTAATAGATTTGTCCAAAATGCCATTACAAAAATGTTTAAACATGAAAATTAGAAAGATTAATCTGGAAAATTCTCTAGAAAAATCTCTTATCACAAACACTATTTTCATCCCTACTCATTCGAAAAAATTCTTTTTCACTAAATCTAGAAAGGAGCTCAATTGCATGTAATTACTAATGATACAATCTTGATATTATAGTGGCATTCGTGATAGATAATCACTAAAAAATCAAATATAGATATATAGAATCATGTGTGAGTTATGATTGCAAATGGAAAAGGGAATGCCACAAATGTAGTTGCATAAACCAAATAGATAAAGATACAAAATGAAAAAAATTAACAATTAATAGCGATATAGTACCGTGAAAACAAAACTAAATAGAAAAATAAATATGCTTGACATATGATTGAGAAATAGAAAAGGCAATGCCAGAAATATAATAGTATCACGCCCAACGGCAAAGCTAATTTCGGGCACCACATCTCGTGCAACGAGATGTGGACCAATGAAATTCATACATCTCATCAATGAAATTAAAGGGACCAATGAAATTCATACATCTCATCAATGAATGCATAGAAAAGTTTGTGGTTTATTCGTTTTGGTTTTCCGAGTGAAAATCAAATAGAATCCAAATAATAACAGTCTAGTTTGGTTTATTTTTACATTCAGTTTCTATTTTTTAGATTCGATTTTTTTAAAGCTTGTTCCGATCAAGCCATTGTTCTCTTCTCGAGTCTGGGCTTTAATGTCATGCTAACTTTATCCGGATAAGTATATTGAGCTATTTATATTGATAATTACACTTTGGTCCAATATAACCATCAATATTCTAAGTTTTTAAAAAGTTTATAATATGTATAAAAAAATGTTTAGTGCTATGTAGTTAAGGCAAAATAACTTTAGTGAACTAAACAATTATTTTCATTTATATTTCTATAATTTATTTTACATATCACATATACTCATATGTGTTGAAATATTGAAATAATAATATTGTTCCTTGAATTATGAAGTACATGATAGAGTACGTATATATAAAAGAGACTCCTAACACAACTAAGAATAGAGAATGGAGACTAACTAGAATACAATATCTACCACAAAGAGGAATAGGAAGCTGACTAATAATCAAACACTACCATAACCGATACTACCAGAAGTAATATTAATATTACTGTCTAACATCCCCCCTCAATTCCAAGCTGAACTTTGACTGAAGCAAGAGGAAACTCACACACTAGCTAGAAACAGGAAACTCTGAGAAAAGAGAAGTCTGACGTGCGCCAGTGGTTGCTGATGTCGTTAGAAAAGAGAGAAGTCTTATGTGCGCCGGTGGCTACTGACGTCGTTAGAAAAGAGAGAAGTCTGACATGCGTCGGTAGCTGCTCACGTCGTTGGAGAATAGAAAATTCTGACGTGCGTCGGTGGCTGCTGACGTCGTTGGAGAAGAGAGAAGTTTGACATGCACTGGTAGCTGTTAACGTCATTGGAGAAGAGAAAAATCTGACGTGCGCTGATAGCTGCTGACATCTTTGAAGAAGAGAGAAAGGTTTGACGTAGGATTGTAGCTGCTTACGTTGAAGAAGAACAGAGAAGGCTATTGGAGGTGTCTGTTTAATTGAAGATCGTTGACATTATTCTTTGTCTCTTTTTTGAATATGGGAAATGCCCTATTTTATTCTTGAAGGGGTGAAATGTAGAGGTACTAGATGTTATATCATTGTACAAGCAGCTAATTGTCTCTTGTCCACGTGATAAGAGTACTAGCAGCTACCTGCCACGATTCCAAAAGAGGATTCAAAGGCTGTAAATTGCTTCATTGAGGGCCATTGACCCATTGTTTTTTCTTTGTTCCACCAATATTCCATATGTGGTTTCTGTCGAATCTGTGCTTAAAAATTGATTGGAAAGAGTATAAGGCTCTTCAAACTAATGAAGTAGGATTATTAGAAAACATTTTTGTTAGTCTCTTCTTTTTAGATGGATTTCATTGTCACGTCTTTAGAAATGGAAATATGTAATTTCTGAACTCTGAGGCTCTGAGGACTTCTAGTGCTCTGATGACTGTTTGTCTTATTGGTGTGTTTTATTTTCCTATCAGAAAAATTTGTTAGTTTCTTTATGTATTTAATGTATCCTTATCTCGGATATATATATATATATATATATATATATATATATATATATATATATATATATATATATAAGTAACTAAATTTAGATATCAATATAGAGAAGAGAGTATTTTTCCGACGTCTAATAATTAAGGATTACTTTCTCAGTTTTCTATTTAACTTGTTTCTAAAGTTCATTCTTTTTCATTTTTAAGAAAAAAATTGTGTTTCATATCATTTTGTTTTTCTCTACATAAATTATAATCGCACAAAAGTTTCATTTCTTTCTTCTTGTGTTTTTTCAAGAGAAATTAAATTTATATTTTGAAAGAATTGTATCAAGTGAAACAAGTAAAAAGTATGGAATTTAAAAAGTATGGAGTAATAACGATAATGATAATGATGATGATGATGATGATAATAATAATGATAATAATAATTCCTAATAATAATAATAATCCTTAATTAGATCTGATCTGTTCTGATCTGATGAGATCTGATCTGATTCGATCTGATCTGATTTTAATAGAAATAAGAAAAAAGCAGAAAAAATAAATTGAACGTAATAGGGCCTACATGTACACTTCTCAAAACTTACAATATGCCTAAAATTTTGAATCACAAATAATTTGATCAATTTGCGATATACTTTATTTGTTCCTATTTAAATTGCATGTTCATTATTCAGATTAGCAAACTGTAACCAATATTTTTTATACTTATTTTCGTTACTCATTTGACAAATTATATATTAGTCATCTCCTTTTTGTTTGTATAATGTTAATGTTATTAAATATATACTCCGTAATATTATTTTTAACACTACACTAATTTTTTATATTATTGGATTGAGAGTAATTTCAGTTAAAGAGCATAAGAACCATACAACTTAAATTGGAATAAAAGAAGAATAAGATAGGCAAGATTAGTCTATATAATTTAAAACTTTAAGTGTGCTATAAGAACACATGTGGCGTTTCCCTTTTCTCAGAGCATCAGCAGCGGCGATCCGTCCATATGCCACGCC